CTTCAGTGTCACATGATTATTCAGAAATCATTCTAATATGCTGATTTGCTGCTCAAGAAACATTTATTATTATTATTTTGAAAACAGTTTGCTGTGCACTATTTTATTAATTTATTTATTTAGTATTAATTTCAGAAATATTAAAACACTTCTATTCAAAAGTTTAGGGGAAAGAAAGAAAAAGAAAGAAAGAAAGAAAAAAAGAGAGTTAACATTATACTACAACAAGAACAACTAATTATTTTTCAGAACATTTACTGAAAGCATTTCTCCTATTTCCGATAACATGCACTACAAAATTCCAGATTGTCGAGAATTAGTGAAAACCCTGGCAGTTTCCAATAAACATGTCATGAGGCAAAGATGAATGACTTAATGCCTTTGACATCTACCTATTACTGAAACTAGTATTTATCTTATAATATTTTCTTTTTCTATATTGAAGGTCCAGTTTTGAGATTAATTTCCAGGCCCAGGTGTTTTGGACTGAGCCCCAATATGAACATCATATACAAGTAATTTGATGTGTATTGCTTTCTGAAACATACTAACACTGCTGGCAAACAAAATTTTTGGAAAATTATACTCTGTAATGAGTTGGGCAGTGTGTTAAAATCCACCACATAACACAATTACATTCAGAAATATTAAAACACTTCTATTCAAAAGTTTAGGGGAAAGAAAGAAAAAGAAAGAAAGAAAGAAAAAAAGAGAGTTAACATTATACTACAACAAGAACAACTAATTATTTTTCAGAACATTTACTGAAAGCATTTCTCCTATTTCCCATAACATGCACTACAAAATTTCAGATTGTCGAGAATTAGTGAAAACCCTGGCAGTTTCCAATAAACATGTCATGAGGCAAAGATGAATGACTTAATGCCTTTGACATCTACCTATTACTGAAACTAGTATTTATCTTATAATATTTTCTTTTTCTATATTGAAGGTCCAGTTTTGAGATTAATTTCCAGGCCCAGGTGTTTTGGACTGAGCCCCAATATGAACATCATATACAAGTAATTTTATGTGTATTGCTTTCTGAAACATACTAACACTGCTGGCAAACAACATTTTTGGAAAATTATACTCTGTAATGAGTTGGCCAGTGTGTTAAAATCCACCACATAACACAATTACACACTTCACAAGCAAAGTAGTGGTGACATTTAGATGTCATTGTGGTTGAGAGTCAGAAAACATAAAATCAGAGAGGTTAATCTAAAATGACATTGATGTTTGTCTCAAATTTAAAATAAGAATTTATTCAAATGCATATGCATAAACATAATATAAATAGAAATACAATTTTAACAGATTGAAAAAGATTATACTGACACAGAGTTCATTCTGAAGTCTGATGTCATGAGTCCATGAATATCACCGTGTTACTAAACAGGCCTAAAGATCAACTGACTCAAATGTCTGCAAGGACCAAAGGTGGTGAATTAATACCCACTGGAGATGAGCAAACACATTGTGTGACCTCTGAGTATGTCACAGTGGTAGATTATACACAGATCTACTAGTAGTGTGGTTGTAAACTGGATTGCTCACCAATAAGAGCTCCAACATACAGTATTTGTGCAGGGTGAAACGCTCTTATGAAAACAAAGTGATTAAATTTCCTCTAGTAGCAACCCACTATGTGGTCACAGTTAAAAAACTGTTTCACATAGTAACACATTTTTGATCTCTCTTCATTGAAACAAGTTAAATCATTTCAAAAAGCTCATGAACAATGGCGAAAAAAATGCACAGCAACATTTCTTTACATGTGTCTGATCCTCTTTGTCTCCGTGGAGACTGCAGAGTATTAAAAGAGATGATTAATCTGGTAGTCTTGCTCTCGCAAAAGGAGCTGCCTGTAATCACAGCATGACTCTGAACTGACGTCAATGTACATCTTATTTGTCGTTCAGCATTTACATTTCCCTGCTGGTGTCCAATTCCAGGAAACAACATGACGTCAGCTGCTCTGTGAGTGGGCAGCGCATTCACGCGTTTCAGAGAGAGAGAGAGAGCAACAGAGGTGCTGAAAGAAACGAGTGAGAGCTACAGAGGAACTCAACAGGAAGCAAAAATGTGAACATTTCATTCTTTCAGCCTGTTGCATGCTACAGAGATGATTCATCACAAGAATATAATGAGAGCACAGATTTGATACAAATCGTATATCGTTTTTTCAGTACAATCGCTACCAAAACTTCAAAGTTTTGTTTGAGCATTTGAAATGTTGTTTGTCCGTTCATGTTCTCTGAACACAGTCAGTTGAAATTTAAAACGACCCAATCAATTTCAAAAACAGCCAAACTAAACTGAGATATTTAAAATGCAATTTTTAAAGCAAGTTCCCAATGTTAAACATGTTGAAAACCACATAAGAGCCACAGAAAACAGCGGACATACCTGATTCTGTCTCATCTCCAGTCACAGCCATGTATAGTGAGCTGAAAGCTTGTCTTTCTCTCTCTGCTGTCAGCATGCAATGCTGCCCAAACCACAAGCTAAGTGTGCAGTCACTGTCAGTGCCATTGACATCACTATGACATCATTAGCCTCCTGATGTCAGCAACGCAGCGGCTAGCGGAGCCAGCCCTTCCTCTCCCCACCCCCCTCTGCCGTCATTCACACATCAGGCAGAGAGCCAGACCAAAGCAGGCTACAGAAGGCAGTTTTTTATGTTTAAAAGCTGCCTAAAGGACTGTCCTTAGATTTTCTTTTCAATTATGATTTCAACAAAAAGAAGACTATGCATAATGTCATGTGATATTGTTTTTGGAGTCTTAAAATTTATAAACAAATGAAATGAGCTTCCAGGTAGGCTGTGCATTGCATGAAACCTGTCAGGAATATATACGGATCCCTTTTAACTCTAAAAAAAAAAAGAAATTACACTATACCATTCAAAATGTATAATTTTTTTTTAATACCAATTAATATTTTCATCAAAGAATCCTGAAAAAAAATGTATCATACTTTCCACAAAAATATTAAGTGGCACAACTGTTTCCAACATTAATAATAAGAAGAAATGTTTCTTGAGCAGCAAATCAGCATATTAGAATGATTTCTGAAGGATCATGTGAAACTGAAGACTAATGATGCTGAAAAATGAGCTTTGCATCACAGAAATAAATTACATTTTAGAATATATTCATATAGAAAACAGATTTTTTATTTAAATTATTAATAATTTAAATGTAATTATTAATATTACATTATTATAGTTTTTACTGTATTTTACATTAAGTAAATGCAGCCTTGGTGTGCATAAACGTCTTTCTGAAACATTCAAAATTTTATTGACTCTAAATGTTTGAACGGAAGTGTGTGTTTTTTTTTAATTGGCATTTCATGCATTTTGCATTTTGCACATTTTCTTCACCAGAATTCCTTTACTGCAATGAACAAAAATCTCATTACTATGTAATTATCATGAAAACAATGTCAAATGCAAACTAAAATAACCCTAATGGTTCTAATGTCTTATTTTGGGGCAAAAAGTGGCCAAGACATGTTCTAATGAGAATCCCCCATGTGTTTATTTTTTCGTCTACGAGTTTAATGTTTATTTAACATGTGGATTTTAAAATTTACTTTTATATGGTATTATTTCAAATGAGAGTATAATCCAAATTAATGACTCAAATGGTGATGTCATTACCTTGGCCCTTATCTTCAGATACAATGTAAGTGCCATTGCTGGAGTGGACAGCATACTGCATTATGGGAGACCCAGGCCAGGAAGTGAAAGTATCATATCTCTGCTGGCAGGGGATAAACTGGACACCGCCACTCTGGTTGACAGAGACTTTAGAGTAATAAAACAAAAGTCATATGAGGAGAAGCCTGTGCACATCATACTTATGATTTGTCAGAGACAATAATGTTTATAAAGTTTGGTTTCACCTACAGTGGCCTCAAAAATAATTTCACAAAAAGTTGTTTGCTAAGCTTTAAATGACAAAACAGTAGATATATTGTTCAAAATTACACAAAAAGTATTTGAACACCTTATTGTAAAACGCCAGTGAAACTCAAGGCAAAATTGGTTAAAAAATCACAGATAACCAGCTGATTAAAAAGTCAAAAAAGGCTCAGAAAAGTAATGTTAGTTTAGTATCATTTATGTGGGGATGCTATTTGGTTTGATATATTATTTTAGGATGCAATGGCATTTAGACATTTTTAAGAATGACTTGAGCATGCACAAGCATCTAAATAGTTTTTGAGGCCACAGTACATGTGAAATATGTATTTGAAACATCTTACTGAAAGGTCCTGCATTGTTATTGTTGAAAATATTTCTTGCGGATGTCTCAACAGCCAACTTCTGTTTTGCATCTTCATCGTTTGGAGAGTCACCAAGATGTGTACTGGTTGAAGAGTCAGGTAGAACCCCTTTTGTGTTCTCCTCTTTGCCAATTATTAATGGTGCCTGAGGAAAAATCAAAAGACAGGTTTTGATTATTATGAGAATAGCTCACCAAAAAAAGAAGTTTTGCTGAAAATGTATTTACCCTCAGGTCATCCAAGATGTAGATGAGTTTGAAATTTAGCATCACTTGCTCAGCAATGGATCCTCTGCACTGAATGGGTGCTGTCAAAATGAGAGTCCAAACAGCTGATAAAAACATCACAATAATCCACAAGAAATCCACACGACTCCAGTCCACCAATTAACATCCTTTTAAGTGAAAAGCTGTGCGTTTGTAAGAAACAAATCCACTGACTTGAGTTGTGTTGTAGATTATTGTGATGTTTTTATCAGCTGTTTGGTCTCTCATTCTGACGGCACCCATTCACTGCAGAGGATCCATTGGTGAGCAAGTGATGTCAAGCTAAATTTCTCCAGTTCTTTTGAATAAACTTATCTATACACCTTGGATGGCCAGGGGGTGAGTAGGCCTACATTTCCTTCAATATATCCCTGATTTCTAAGCCCACCGGATACATAGGGTTAGCCTACATATACAAGGAAGACCTTTTGATGATCTTGTGATGAATTCCTACAGTAATCAGTGAGGTTTAGATCACACACACACACACACACACACACACGATTTTAGAAGCACACAAGGTCATTCCTATTCTTTTTTCCACCTGCCACCTACATGCGCAACCAGATCACACACGTCTGAACCCACACTGTCTTTACTCAGTCACCCTGAGGCACCACATTATTGTACAAATCACTGAAGCTGTTCAGAGGAGACTGTGCACTACTATAAATTATCAACTGAGTTTTAATGGGAACCCCTGTGACCAGAGGAAGTATGTTTTTGACCCATTTCATCTCATAAATATTAGCAGTAAAGACAGCCAGTAGCTAGTAAACTTTACCTGTTCATATTCTGCAGACTGAGTGATTGGTTGACTTGCATCACCTGCATCCATACTGCTTTACACTAAAGAGATTAAAAATAATAATAAAATCCCTGTCATACACTCTTTTTAATAATAATTATAATATGTATATTGTATCTTATTATGCATATAATGTATTATTATTATTATCTTTTGTAAAAACAAGCCGCGAGATTCAAAGCAAATTGTGTGTGGGAATATTGTTTTTCATTCATATTATTAGCTCTCTCACAACAACAAATACGAAATGTGATCTAAATGCTTTAAAAGAACTCAAGGGACAGCAAAGTTAACGCATTCATTTAATGTGGGCACTAATATTGTCGTTTTAACCAATTTCTTACCTTGTTTTTTTAGGAGAGAGGTGTTTAAAATGTAATTTGACCGAGTACAGTCGTCGAGTACACGATGAGGCGAGCGGTTAACGTTAGATTTGTAACGGTCACTTTACTAATGAGCGCGAGCGAGCACGCGGTATGAAAACTATATCACCTGTAGGCCTACTACGATTTTGGGAATTTAAACGGTTATTTTAACTGTTATTATATCTGATGTCTTCATAAACAACATCTATGGTTAGGTCAAAGAAATTATTCGGCATTTGGCGACATCCAGTGATTGAAGTTGGAATAGAACTTATGTGGCTGTCACTGTAATTATGAAAATTAAATCAGACAGGTAATCAATAATGTAATTACATATATTTAAGCCTATATAATTTTTAAATCAGTAAAAAAAAAAAAGTAATTGTGGCATAGATTTTTGTCATTTCTTGCACTTACAGCAATTATCTCAAGTTCCATGACCTCTCCATTTATGATTACTAGATTATTTTTGTCCTTAACCAGTGTATATTAAAAATGAAACCAGAAAACTCCTATTTATTATTGTATTTATTTTTTGGTCTTTCTTGAAAATACAAAACAAAAACACATTAAACATTACAAAACATTCTTTAACCGAAGTGACATAGGCAATGTATAAAGTAAAAAGACGATAGAATTCAGTCAGTTACGGTGTAATTTTGAGGTAACAAGCGATGTTTGGGTCAATAATAACTAAACTCAAATTCACCTCCTCAAATGTAACCAGTAGTGTTATCAAATCAACTCAACTGAGTTTTCTTTTCTTTTTTTACCACATCAACAATTTACTATTTAAAATTTCGCAGCTCGCTGCGATTTCAATGTTAATCTTTCGGTCAGACTTTTAAAAGTTAAGAAAACCAAACCAGAGGTACACAAATGAGTTAGCATGCTCTCAGCACCAATACAGCTCAATCAACCAATTTAGGTACACACACAGGCAATTAGTGCAACAATTAACCGCAGCGAGAGCATGAAGAGTGATAAAAACTTATCAACTAAAAACAGGCATATGAAGCGGAGGCACTAACCCTAAGGGCCCGTCTTCCCATCAGGGCACGGCAGCAACAAACACACCGTCACCCAGAGAAGATGAACCATGCCTGGAGCTACAAATACCCAAATTAAAACCAGGAAAAATAACAAAAATGTCGCTTTTTAAATGCTAACGTTATTAATATTTTGTATGAAATAACAATTAAGACATTGCATTTAATATACAGTTGTTTTTCCCCATCCCTTTGGATTTTTGCTTGAGATAACTGCTGATGATTTTGCATCTGTCATAGCTGGTAGAATGAGCTAGCGCTGTTTTTTTGTTTTGTTTCTTTTTTCCTCTTTTAAATATATACATGCATTCAATAGGTATTCCAATAAAACTAATTCCAACTCCCTTCCGGTTTCACCAATTAAAGAGTTAGCTAAAAACTGCAAGACAGTCCACACAACACAATTCAGCATGAGGAGCTTGTCTGGTCTTCGGCCGTGAGATATGTTGTAGAATGAGTGAAGGATGGGAAGTAGTAATGGAGCTGGACTGGGAAGATACTCTTTCCTTTCGTCTGCCAACTGGAGTCGGATTCACATTATGTTTGGAAGGAAGAGCAACTGGCTGATAACACTTGTAGTGGCAGCTCCAATTGCAAAAATACTGGACAGTGAGAATGCAAATCTACCATCTTTTGACCTGAAGACAACAAAAAGACAATTATTTCACACAGGGACCAACAAAATCAGACTATTTTGTGAGTATAAAGACAGTAAAGATGCGGTCACATAGTGTAGTGATGCATGAAGTCACTTTCAAACCAAGCATCTTTCTGATGATCAATGGAGCATATTTGCTTGACCAACAGAACCTGATGTGAAATCAGCATGGGGAAATCTTTCATTGATTGCGTATATTCTTATTAAAATGACTGGATTTTGCCCAAGAAAATAAGCCAAAATTTCACGGAAAAAAAATTTCTACTGTCAAAAGCGTAGCGATGCATAAAGACAATTTTAAACCATTTGCACTTACAGTGTCGCGTTCACCACTGCGTGGGCACGTAACTGTAGGTGGGAGTGGCAGGCGGGCGGTACGTGGGCATTGAAAGGTGGGGCGCGACTGGGGTCGGAGAGTGAGTAGTTAATAATGTCCCTGAGGAGAAAAAAAAAATGCATTATTACTATTTCCTATTTATTGTATAAATTTCAGTGGATTATTTGGATGAGACTCACCAGCTGACATCGCCATGGTGGTGCCTCCTACCATGCCCATGGTGACTCCGTTAGGGCGGGGCGGGGGAAGGGGAGGAGCATACATGGCCGCTGGCATGCCATTGGGCTGGACCACCGTTGTATGATGAATGACATGCGGCGGTGCTGCGTAAAGGGGCTGTGTGTAGTAAGTGCCTTGCTGCTATGGAAAAAAACATCCAATATTTTAACAAAATGCAGGTGTGACATTATTTACGCTTCATAACCTCCAGTTTTATGTTGCTTTACCTGTGCATAGGGGTTCTGTTGGGGGTAGGGACTTCTCACGGGGTAGACTGCAGCAGGGTAGGGGTTGGGTGAAGAGGAATAGGGGGGTACAGCACCTGTTGTTGGGGAGCAGGACATTTTAAAAGGGGTCCCGGGAGCATAACCTGTAGAGATGACATTATATTTGAAGAAAATTAAGCAATAATCTAATTTGCTAGCAACAGCAATGCTTCTAAAAAGTGAGCATCACATCAAAATTGACCTTGTGGAAAAAAATGGCTGGATAAACCCTATATTTTTCATGAACATCTAGTTTTATCTGGAAATATGTAAGACTCCAAAGGCAAAATAGGTAGTTAATGTCATGTCAAGTTGGCTTTATAGGAATATAAATCCAAAAATGAAAATCCTGTCATCATTTACTCACCTTCATGTCACTCAAAACCTGTATGACATACTTTCTTCTGTGGAACACAAAGAAAGATATTTTGAAGAATGTTGGTAATCAAACTGACTTCCAGAGTATGGACTAAAAATACAATAGAAGTAAATAGGAACTGAAAATGTTTGGTTACCAACATTCTTCAAAATATCTTCTATTATGTTCTGCAGAAGAAAACAAATGTCATACAGTTTTGGTACGACTTGAGGGCAAGTAAATGATGTCAGAATTGTCATTTTTGGGTGGACTATGCCTTTAAGACATACTGATGAGTTCAGGCACAAAAATGTTGAAGAAAAATAAACAATGTGAGCTGTAATCCAAGAACTGCACTTTCTAGCTTCTTAAAACATGTTAAAAATAAAAAACCTCAGGATATATTTTTTGGCTGAGTGAAGATCCATGTAACAAAATCTCTGTTTTGGCTTCTTGGAAACTGAAAAACACAGGAAAAAGAGAGAGTTTGGGCTTCCTTTACCTGTGGGAAAGGCTGGATTAGTGCCAGGGTACATGCCAGGGGAGTATGCTGGAGCTGCCGCTGCATAACCCACAGGAAATCCCGCTGTGCAGGAGGAAAAAAAACAAAAAAAAACAGCAATTAACAATAACAGCAAAGACATTGTGCTGGAACCTAATTGCGTATGGTGTGAAAACTCCAGACACTTCCTATCGATTGCATGCAAGTGAGTCGGAGCTCGTCTCTGGTTACCTGGGTATCCTATTCCTTTAGGGTTGGCATAAGGAACCCCTGATGACGCAGGGCTATAAACAGGGTTCATGATGTTTATCTTTTAGCACCTTTGAAGAATAGGAAGAAGAAGACATTACATTCAACTAAACAATGACCTATTACTAGACAGTTGTATTGTGCATTGCTTCTCTTTGGAAAAATACAGGTATATATTATGTACATTCATTTATAATAGATTCTTAAACACAGCAAGTTTCTACTTGGTGCAAAAACAAACTAGCTATAAAATATGGACGCTTTTTTAAATAATTGACTTTTTGATTGATAATAATGTGTGTTTTTTTTATCAAAGTAGCCAAAGGATAAATTAATGGTTATTGCAGTATATAATAATTACTATTGCACATTTTAAATAATCAGTACCAGTATCGGTCAGGATAAATTAAAAATGGGGAAAAAATGCTATGCAGTTTTATCAGTCATGTGTAACAGGTACTTTGTAATGAGTCCCACTATGATCTCAAGTCACCCTCTTACAACACCTGTCAGTCAAAACTGATGTGCGGGAACACAAAGCCGCTAACTGCACTGCATGAGTGCAGCGACATGCAAAACGGCAAACCTTGTGTTACTCAATGATTTATCAAGAAAAATGTCGAATTTACCAATAAGAATCCTTTAAGGCGCATGCTGATGCAACGTGTTTCTGCTCGTACTGGTTGTTGAGTGCATCCGACTTATGAGATTTAAAACATGCAGTTTATGCATTAAAATATAATTCAACGCAATTGAGAAAAACAATCAGATGTAAAGCAAATGCGCATAAACGCATTGCATTCAATGGATCGGGCTCCTCTGAAACACAAGTATGGCTTTCAATTAGCCTAAGGTCCCGATTGTAAACTGACTCTACCGGTCGGCCAATTAATATTTTACATGCATGGATAAAACATCGTGCTTTGATGCTCAAACACATCATAATAATAAACGTGACATTGTGCACGCAGGAAGCAGCGCAGCGGCTCGGTGTTACAGGCCAACAGCAGAATCTCGCATCCCACTTTATCCCAATTCACTACACGTCCCACTCCTCCATCCATCCCTCTGTTTTTCCCCAGACAAAATCCCCCTCAGATGGGCAGCTAAAGCAATGTATCTCAACCGGACAGTAGTGACTGTGGGTACGTACGGTCGCTGGGGTTTTTGTAGCGGGAGAATAATCCAGTATTTCGCTCGTATCTGATGATGTTGTCCGTCTCGAGCTCTCGCGTCGGCTGCAAATTGTGCAAAACGCTACGCACAGCGAACCCTGGCAGCACCGTGCGTCACTTCCGCCTTTGCAGGAAGCAGAAGGACATATTCAAATCGGGCGGTAGTGAGCGTGCACCCGTCAATGTTGCCGAGGACTTTTGATTAAAATGTGTATTTTTTGACGTTTGGATTTGATCTGACTTGTTGTTATTGATAAATAAAATTACATGCAATTAAATCAGCCACATTCTATGTTTTAAAAGTGTCTTATGTGTTGTGGATCGAATTTACTTCAGTTTTACCTTGTTTACCTATGTATGAATATGTAAGATATTATAAATAATATTGGAGAGGTTTTGTACCACGCTGTACGGTTAATTTTTGTCTTTATACAGCAAATTGTTCTTAAAACAAATTTTCCTTAAAAACAACTTCAAATCAACTGTCATTTTAAAAGCTCGTTTAAAACTTATTTGATTTTGATCCAATTCCAAGAGAAAACTTTGTAACTCACGGTAAATAGGCAGACAATAAAACAAGACGATGTCAAAATAAAGTTTTAATTTTTTACATTTTATATATAAAGTAAACAAATATATAAAAAATACCTTGCAAGAACAACAACTGAACTTTTATTGTGTTTTATTATGTCCATATGTTTGGATTTTTGTTGTATTTTATTTTTTGAAAACGTTATCTTGTAAAAGTGTGATGATAAAAACGAGGTCAATTTTAATCTTATAATTGTATTAGTTAAATTTGACACACTAATGTAAATTTTCCAACAAAATACCAATTTTCTCTGTAGCTTTCAAAGAAAAATAAAGCTTTATGTGTTATTCAGTTTAGTACTAACAGGAAAGGTAAAGACCGTTAGTTTATGCTCGCTTTTCATTCATTCATTCATTCATTCATTCATTCATTCAATCACATTTATAATTGTACATTTTACTTATTATACATATTTATGTATGTGTATACACACACACATATAGCATTATATATAGCATTGCTGTATAGTTGTATTTTTTAAATGTTTTTAAAGTATTAAAAAAATGTCACCTCCATTCGTAGTATTTCAAACTCTAGGGGGAAATATAGGGAAAGTTGTAAAAGGGACAATATGTTTGTAAGGCAGTCTCATAAAGTGCATTGGAATCTTTCATTTATGAATAATAAAAGTGTTAATTGTTTTACTTCAACATGGTTGATATGACAGGCTTTTCCTCCCGTGTATTTGTGTGGTTGTTTCCTAAAGGGTTAATAAACAGAGCAGGTCCTTGGTGATGGTGTGATGATGAGGTCATGAGGTCATGAGTACGGAAGCCGGTAGAGGGACGGAATCCTCTCTCTCTCTCTCTCTCTCTCTCTCTCTCTCTCTCTCCCGGGTTTGAGTGCGCCGCTGTTCTCCGGCCGTCTCAGTAGGAAACATGGCGGCCGTCAGTAAGTACTTGACAGCGAAGAACTCCGCTGTAGCTGGCGGCATCCTACTCGTTTTATACTTCCTAAAGCAGAGACGAAGATCCGCTGGACTGAACAGGTATGTGAAAACACATATAAAGTACCTAATGCATGAGTCCAGTGTCAGAGTGACCCCGGTTCAACTACAGCAAAATGAGTCCGGCCATGTGTCAAAACCTAATGAGCGTGTACAGTCTAGTGTACAGAAGGTAGGTTTTGAGACACATCCTTTATAATGAGATACAGTCCTTGAAACCCACATGAGGCTTACTGAACATTATTATGCTTGTTGCAGTCTCACTATCCAACAATGGACTCTTTCATAAAAGGACAGTGTTTGTTGGATAAATGTTGCCACAGTATGCATTCAAAAATTCTATACGCAAGAATGATAGTCAAGAATGATTCATATTTGCACCTTGAACTCTCTAGATTTAAGATTCAGCATCAAGCATACCTATGACAGAAAAATGGCAATTTTTATGTAATGCTTCATATTGAATGTTATTGGATGTACTGTAGTAATTATTATTATTAATAGATTTATTTCATCATCCTCAACAGGAAGAAGGGTTCTTCAAATGATCTGAAGAGTGAGGTAAGAGAAATGTATTTATTGATCTCTGCATGAACTGATAAAAACTGTATACGCACAGAATGCAGTGTAAGTTGCTTTAATGTAATGTCAGATGAATAATGTAATATATAAGTTGCAATCTTGACTATTTAGTTAAAGATCTGGCTGTGACTATATTCCATGAGTTTCCTTTGACTTTCAACACTTCTTGTGTTTTAAAACCAGCAGAAAGATGGCAAGAAAGAGAGAGCTGCTGTGGACAAGCTCTTTTTTATCCGGATCTCACGGATCGTCAGGATTATGGTGCCGAGATTCTTCTGCAAAGAGGTGAGAATTGGCTTCATGAAGGTTCTTGCTGAAACAGCAAGTTGGGGTGAGGCATGAATTGAAGGTTTCCCTTTTTTTCAATAGCCAATCACCTTTACTTTATGTCATAGTCAAGAACATGATTTTGTACTTGGTGTTGCTATTTAGAGCACATTTTCTTGTGCATTTTTTTCTGAGCTGAAACATTATGCATTTTATACACTACCATTCAAATTTCTGGGGTCACTACATTTTTTTTTATAAAGAAATTATTTGAATTCAGCAATGCATTAAATTGATCAAAAGTTACAGTAAGACTTTTACATTGTTGCAAAAAAAAAGCACTATTCTTTTTAACTTTCTATTTATCAAAGAAATTTCCACAAAAATATTAAGCAGCACAACTGTTTTCAACATTCGATAATAATATTTGTTTAGCAGCAAGTCAGCATATTGGTATGATTTCCGTGACAGTTTCATGTGACTGAAGACTCGAGTAATGATGCTGAAAATTCAGTTTTGCCATCAGAGAATTAAATTAAATTAAATCAAATTAAATCAAATTAAAACATATTCAAAATGAAAACAGCTGTTTTAAATAGTAATATTTCACAATATAAATGTTCAAACTACGTTTTTGATCAAATAATTGCAGCCTTTGTGAGCATTAGAAACCTCGTTCTAAAACATAAAAACTTATCAACTCCAAACTTATAGGATAACGTGCATGTGTATCTGCTAAATAAAAGCAAAGCATTTCAGCTCATTATGGTTTTTCACATTATCTATTTATTTATTTGTATTTTTTTATTATTTGTATTTTTTTGTATGTCACAGACATGGTACCTGCTCCTGATTGCATTAATGCTTGTGACTCGGACCTATTGCGACGTCTGGATGATTCAGAACGGCACTATGATTGAAAGGTACCGTATTGATCTAGATCTCAAACTATTACACTTTGCAAAGACGCCAAGCACCCAGTTAAATATTGATTTAATGTGATTTGATTGTATGATTGTTTTGACATTTTAACAGTGGAATCATTAGCAGAGATATCAAACTATTCAAGAGGCACTTTTATTCCTACCTGACTGTCATTCCTGGGGTAATTTACTGTATCTTCATGTGCTGTGAAAACTAATGTATTGTTACAGATGTGTCATGTGATTTACATCACTGAACCAGTCCATTGTGGTTCCTCACATGCTCACCTCTCAGATCTCCTCTGCTCTGCAGTTTAAATGCACATTTGTGTTTTGTTAATGTGTGCTTCCTTAAAAATCATTTGCATTCATTTTGTTCATGCACATGAAGGACAGGCCAGCGGGATGAGTGTTTATTCGCTTTTGTATTAACTCTGACCGTGTTTGCATGTGTTTGTGTGCATGTTGTGGTTTGCAGTGCGATCATTGGTCGGTCCACTGAAGGTTTCAAGAAGTACTTATTCAACTTTATCACGGCCATGCCAGTTGTAAGTCTCTGCTTTTATCAAAGTTGGTAGTTAATGTTAATAGTCAGAGGAGTTCTGAGAATGTTAACTGTCGAAACTGTGAAATTAAAACTGCTTCCAAATAACCACCTTAAGCAAACAACCAAACTAATATATGCTTCCTGTTTACATAGAAACATCTCTGAGGCTAGAATGCGTTTGTTTAAAATCAGTAAGAGAGCAGCATGCAAGAATTGTTTGAAGTTTTTGCTATGGAAACATCCAGATTTGTAAATGGCTGCATCTCAATCTTTTAGATCGCCCTGGTGAACAACTTCCTGAAGTTGGGCCTGAATGAACTGAAGCTGTGCTTTCGCGTGAGACTTACCAAACATCTCTACGATGAGTACCTTAAGTAAGGCCCATCACTGCCATGACATTATTCCAACTGAAATGTGACCCTGGATCACAAAACCAGGGTTTTTGAACCCAATTTTTTGAAATTGAGATTTATACATCATCTGAAAGCTGAATAAATAAGCTTTCCATTGATGTATGGTTTGTTAGGATAGGACTAGATACTTGTATTATTAATATTTGGCCAAGATACAACTATTTGAATATCTGGAATCTGAGGGTGCAAAAAAATCAAAACACTGAGAAAATCGCCTTTAAAGTTGTCCAAATTAAGTTCTTAGCACTGCATATTACTAATCAAAAATTACGTTTTTATATATTTACGGCAGGAAATTTACAAAATATCTTCATGAAACATGATCTTTACTTAATATCCTAATGATTTTTGGCATAAAAGAAAAATCAATAATGTTGCTACAAATATACCCCAACGACTTAAGACTGGTTTTGTGGTCCAGGGTCACAAATATTCTTCACGAAAACTCAGTAAAATGCATTACTATTATATTTGCTCATACTGGATTAGCTGGTTGTTATAATGTGCTTAAATACAAATTATTAAAATGGATGCATTGACATTAAAATTCTGATTAATGGCTGATATTAAAATTCAAAATAATTTTGTGTAAAAAAAGTATTATTTTAATTTATTATTTTAAATTTAGGCATCACTCACTATTTAGAACTGCAAGTATGTAAGACTTTAATTTTAAGATCTGCTGAAGATTACATTTACATTTTTAGCCTTAAAAAATAATAGCTGAGCACTATGTACAAAGGTAATTTTAATGAAAATATGTATAAAAATATTTTTTAGTTAATTTTTGTATTAAAATGTAAAAAAAAAAAAAACTACAATCGGCCGATAACCGATATGGTATGAACCAGATTGTTCAACAGAGGTGACATTTGTTTTCTTTCTGAGTGAGAAAAAAAGTGCATTTGTTGTGAAATGTGATTCTTTCTGAAGAAAATGCAAAAGTCTAGTTACTAATCTCACTATCTTTGGGTTCACAGGGGATATACATTCTACAAAATGGGAAACCTGGATAACCGCATTGCTAATGCAGATCAGCTGCTGACACAGGATGTGGAAAGGTTCTGTAACAGTGTGGTGGATCTTTACTCCAACCTCAGCAAGGTACGACACCCCTTTGTCCAAATACCCAATTTACTTTTTTAGTATATTTCCCGGCATTTGCTAAGTTCTTCTTGCTTTTCCCCCTCCAGCCCCTGTTGGATATCGTTTTATACATTTTCAAATTGACAACAGCAATCGGTGCTCAGGTGAGAGTGCAAGACAGTGTGAAAATCTACTGTAGATCAATGCCATTGGACATTTTGAGGATCTTTTGGACTCTTTGAACAGGGTCCTGCATCTATGATGGCCTACCTGCTGATCTCCGGCCTCTTCCTGACCCGTCTACGTAGACCTATCGGTAAGATGACAGTGACCGAACAGAAGTACGAAGGAGAATACCGATACGTCAACTCTCGTCTCATCACAAACAGGTGACTTGTCTTACTTGTATGCGTTTTTGTACTATAATTTTGTTTTTCTCAAATTTTGATGCATGTCATAATTTCCTTCCCAGTGAAGAGATCGCCTTCTACAATGGAAATGTAAGGGAAAAACAGACAATTCATTCAACCTTCAGGAAACTGGTGAGTATATGATTGTACAAATCTGTGAGTGTTTATTATCAAAAGGGTTGCATCAGTATTTACTGATAAATTACCGATAAGCCAATAATTATTTTTCTGATAAATGGCCGATATTTAAATGTATACTATTTTACCTAAATAAGATAAAAATAAAACTGAACTAATATGATTAATTTTAAATTGCAAGTGAATTTAGGCATTACAACGTTATAATGTACATTATGACAAATTAATGTTTATTTTGATTACATTTAACAGTGGTATTCAGTTATTAGTGTGTCTTTTTAATTAATTTTGTGTCAAATGTAATCTAAAAACGTAATAAAAGTATTAAAGGTAATAAAAATACATATGCATATACAATTAAATATCCAACACTCTAATATTGGCCAGTAATCTGTAACCTATGTAATATAGGTTTGCATCTTGATATCTGAGTTTGTTTGCAGGTCGATCATCTGCACAATTTCATCATCTTCCGTTTCTCCATGGGAATGGTGGATAGCATTATTGCCAAGTGTAAGAGGACGTTTCATTATCTTCCCTAAATAAAAAATACATGATCATGGGCAGTAAAAGATGGCTAAATTGTTCTGTCTTGTTCCAGATTTCGCTACCGTTGTTGGGTATTTAGTCGTCAGTCGTCCTTTCCTTGATTTATCTCATCCTCGACATCTGACCAGCTCACATGCTGAACTGCTGGAGGTAAAACTTCACTCCTGATATCACGATTATTCCTAGTTAGTGGCCCTCAATTGTTTTTACAATGTATTTCAATCTTGACATGTCCTTCTGAAGGACTACTACCAGAGCGGCCGTATGCTGCTGCGTATGTCACAGGCGTTGGGCAGAATCGTCCTTGCAGGCAGAGAAATGACGCGACTGTCAGGGTAAAAGTTCACACATCCTCATCACCTTGCACCATGGTTACTTGCCATTTAATTAAAACTTGGTACATTTGATGCTATAAAATGAGTTTGTTTTTCCCTTCAGCTTCACCGCTCGCATCACTGAGCTCATGAAGGTCCTGAAAGAGCTGAATTCTGGGAAATACGAACGCACCATGGTGTCTCAGTCAGAGAAGGGTGAGCTTCAGACACTCTTGAAGTCCAAAACAAACTTCAAAGAGCTATGTAATTGGTTTTAATAGATTTTTTTTCATGTTTTTTTATGAACAGATGCTTCCGAAAAGCTCACACTGATACCTGGAAGTGGAAGAATCATCAATGTAGACAATATCATCAAGTAAGAGCAGCTTCCTTCAGTCCTTTATCTCAGATTGAGTGCTTCACTGTTAGGAGAAGCAACTATGCTAAGTTTAATATGTAATTTCTCATCAGGTTTGATCACACGCCCCTGGCTACACCTAATGGAGACATTCTGATCAGAGATCTGTGTTTTGAGGTGTGTTTATTATATATACACTGACAATAAATGGAATAGAAATTCTTAATGTCTCACAATTTTGACCCTTATGTCTTGCACCTTTTATATCTGCATATCAGAGGTTTTCTGAAATACTTTTTGCAGTTGCTTGCAACTTGCAATTTTTTTTTGCTCATTTTAAATCTCACAACTGTTTCTCAGAATTGCGACTTAGATTAACACAGTTGTGCCTTTTATTTTTCCCTATTGTAACTTTGTTTCTCACCGTGTGATTTCATTTCTCACATATACATATTTTTCTGATAAGTGCGACTTTGTTTCTTTATTTATTCTTTGTTTCATTTGTAATTTGTTTTTCATTATTGCAAATTTGTTTCTCAGTGATTTTTGTTTAATATCTCACATTTGCGACTTCTTTCACAATATGATTTTATATCCCACATTTTCAACTTTTTCAAAATTGCAGCTTTATATCCTGCAATTGTGACCTTGTTTTTCATTATTGCAACTTTATTTCTCATATTGTGATTTTTTACATTTATTTATTTATTTTTCTCATTTGCATCTTTTTCTCATAATTGCATCTCTGTATCTAAAATTTGCAACTAATATTTGTTTCTCACAATTGTGGACTTGCTTCTCGCATTTGCAACTTTCTTCACAATTGCGACTGTATATTATGGACGCCCATTTCCGCCACTGAATAAAAAAAAAAAAAAAAGGTAATTGCAAATTTTTATCTCACAGTTCTGACTTTTCTCAATTGCATGTTATAAAGTCAGAATTGCTTTATTAGAAAAGAAGTCCAAATTGCGAAGAAAAAAGTAAATCGCAAGATATTAACCTGCAATTGTAAGAAATTAGTGTTTTTTTTCCCCTCATAATTGGAAAAAATTGCATTTGCGAGTTTATTTCTCACAATTCTGATAAAAGTAGTCAGAATTACAAGAAAAAAGTCAGTTGCGAGGTATATCTCGCTATTCTGAATTTATTTCTCGCAATTGCGAGTATATATCCCATAGTTCTGACTTTATAATTCGCAATTGCGAGTTTATATCTCACAATTCAGAATTGTGAGATGTAAACTCTGGCTATACTATGGCTTCCATAGTATATTTAATGATTATGACTTTATATATTGCAATTGCGACTTTGTTGTGACCTTTTTCACAATAACCTTGTTTACTTTTTAGTCAGGGATGGAAACAGGCTTCCATTTCTGTTAGAATAATGTTAATGTGTGCGTGCTCATCTTATTGTGTATTGCTCTTCAAAGGTGAAATCCGGAACCAATGTTTTGGTGTGTGGTCCCAACGGGTGCGGAAAGAGTTCACTTTTCCGTGTTCTTGGAGAGGTGAGCACATCTGTGATACTCAGACTGAAATTATGCCCTCGTTCCTAGTTCTCGTTGAAAATTCTTCCATTTTATCTGCTAAATGTTGGGTCTTCGGTCTCTCTCTAGTTGTGGCCACTGTTTGGTGGGAGTTTGACGAAACCAGAGAGGGGGAAACTCTTCTACGTCCCTCAGGTGAAACTTTAACCTGATTTTTACAGCACAAAACCCACTTTACCCATGGCAGAACATCTGAATGGTCCACAACAGCTGAATAACTTGCCTTTTTTGTCTGTTTTCAGAGGCCTTACATGACCCTCGGCACACTGAGAGATCAGGTGATCTACCCAGACACCCATGAGGACCAAATGAAGAAAGGCATCTCTGACCAGGTACTATAAACTAGTTTTTTTTTTTTTTGTCTGTTTTCAGAGGCCTTACATGACCCTCGGCACACTGAGAGATCAGGTGATCTACCCAGACACCCATGAGGACCAAATGAAGAAAGGCATCTCTGACCAGGTACTATAAACTAGTTTTTTTTAAATCTGAAAACCCTTTAACATGTGCAGATCCACCTATATTTATTTCATAATAATCCATTTTCATTCCATCCACCTGTTTTTTTGTGGCAGGTGCTGAAGGAATACCTGGATAATGTCCAGTTAGGACACATTTTGGAGAGAGAGGGGTCGTGGGACATGGTTCAGGACTGGATGGATGTGCTCAGTGGAGGAGAGAAGCAGAGAATGGCGGTAAACACATTTTTAACAACCGCAAAGAAAGTCCCATACACGTACAGTAATGCAAAATGACTTACAGTAACTGCAGGAGCAGTTCTCATGGGACAAGCAGAAGTCAGTGGCACTGATAAGGGCTATGTTGTTGTCTCGTTAACATCCAGTTTTTGAACCACTTCACCACAATTTGTGTTAAAACCCAGATCTTTTACTATGTCATTGCACTTCCGCATTTAGACTGAGTCACATCATGTTGGAATCATCAGAATTACCGTAGTTATAAGAAAACAAATTAGAGATTTCCCATCCATGGGCTCAGAAAATTTCTATTTAATTTGTCATTTGTTTTCAATAGTTTTGTGGTTTTTACATGACATTACAGCAGTCAAGTGGGAGAGGCCAGAGTTTTTCTAACATGTATAAAGAGTTCTTTGGATCTACAATAATTCCAGTAATGCTGAAATGATGTTAACTCTTCCTAACCTGATAAAAAAAAACAGATATTGTTTCATAAAACCATGATATCAACCCCGCAGTGAGTGACGCTGCATTTTATAAGGTCACTTGGTTTCCAATGCGTAGCCCCGGCCTCACTGAAATCTGATTGGTCCAAAATATTGGCCCTCATATACACTACCATTCAATAGTTTATGGTCAGTAAGATTTTTTTAATGTTCAAAGTCTCTTCTACTCACAACGGCTGCATTTATTTGATCAAAGCAGTAAAAAAACAGTAATATTGTAAAATAGAACTATTTAAAATCACAATTGTTCTATTTTAATAGATTTTAAAATGTAGGAATTATATTCCAATGTTGCAAAGCTGAATGTTCAGCATCATTACTCCAGTCTTCAGTGTCGCATGATCCTTCAGAAATCATTCTAATATGCTGATTTGCTGCTCAAGAAACATTTATCATTATTATTTTATTAAAAAGGTTTTGGTTCATAATATCAGGATTCTTTGTTACCAAAAAAGTTCAAAAGAAAAGCATTTATTTGAAACGGAAATCATTTGCAACAGTATACTGTCACTATTAAGTATTCTTGCTGAATGAATAATAAATATAATACAATTCTAAAACTGAATCTTGAACTGTAGTGCATATTAAACATCGAACACAGACCAATTCAGATATTATAGGACAAATCCCTCAAATCCCATGTGGATTTCCACTAAACTCTGCAGCATTTTATTGTCAATATTATGCAAATTACATTTGTATGCTTATAAATGAGAATTCATAGATGTTTTTTTTTTTTTTCATAGATGGCCAGGCTCTTCTACCACAAGCCCCAGTTTGCCATCCTGGATGAGTGCACCAGTGCCGTGAGCGTAGATGTGGAGGATTACATCTACAGTCACTGCAGAAAGGTGCGCATTTCTCTATCCTAAAGAGACTTTCTCATCATATTTCAGTGTATTTTGCTGAAATTTCTCTTCATGTGTGGTTTATTCTTCTTGTTCCTCAGGTTGGCATCACCCTGTTCACAGTCTCTCACAGAAAGTCCTTGTGGAAGCATCATGAGGTGAGATCAGCGCTGCTTTCCCATCATCAATTTTTACCAACATTAACCATATACTTAATCACAAAATGTCCTTTCTTCTTTCCAGTACTACCTCCATATGGACGGCAGAGGAAACTATGAATTCAAACTCATCACCCCTGAAACTGTGGAGTTCGGCTCTTAGAGGAAAAACAACAGCACTATACTATCAGCGGCCCTAGTGAGGGTCCGTAACTGTTCACTTCTTAAAGGGACAGTTCACCCAAAAATTACAATTCTGTCACAATTTACTCTTTCTTCTGTTGAAACCAAAATAAGGTAGCTGTTGACGGTAGCCATTGACTTCTTCCATGGTATTTTGGAAACTGTTTGGTTACCAACATTCTTTAAAATGATCTTCTTTTGTGTTTAGAATAACTTGAGGGTGAGTAAATGAGTAACATTTTTGGGTGAACTGTCCCTTTAAGGAGTCACCTGCCAACCTAATCTAGAAGTATGTTTTTAATGCTCATAACCTTTTTGGGATGAAATTGTGTTTAGAGATTTATTAACACTACTTTTGTCCTCAGTGATTGTATATAATTTTGTAATTTAAGCAGTCCAATTTATAGGACATCCGTTAAGTACGCGTGAGAGCGTATACCAAGGAAATACGTCTTGTGTCTGTGCACTAATTTGTTTAATAAATGAAATTTGTCTGTATAGGCTCACACAAATCAGTGCCACCGGGCGTTAGATACACGATAATGATCTAATATTGCCGTTTTCCTCATCAGCTAAGTCTTTCTTTAAGCTACTAAGTGGCCTTTCGTGCTCACTGCTGCATGGTTGGGTGGTCTGTATGTGTGCAAGTTGTTTTTATGGTGCACTTTACCTGGTGTGGTAATTTGGAAAACCAGGAAGCCTTGTACAACCGTTAGGTGTCTGTAATCGATGAGAAGTTGCCTATGCACTTGTTTACTCCAGCACTGTTGGCATTTCTTGATGTGGAAAGAATCAGGAACGGTTGTTGTGTGTAAGAACTGTAAGAGACATTGTTGTAGCACTTCACACATTGAGCAAATGAACCACTTTGCTGTATGTTTTCATTAAAAAAAAGAGAGATATTGATACTATGAAGTCTGTTAGTGGTCTTTTTTTATCTTGAAGAAATGGTTATAGATTGTGTTGATGATTTCAGGAGAGTGTGAATTCAGTTGGACTGGTTTATTGCACATTATGGTTACTTTAGGAAATCTTTGAAAATATGAATGTTGAACTTTAACACACTTCAAATGTAAGTGAAAGGTAATTTAGATTAGACACTGCTTTGACCTTTCACCCTCCACATGACAATGTATTTTTAATGTCTCTAGTCACCTGTTCTTGGCCAAAGGTGGTAAAACACAAACTCAGATGTCCTATTGGCCAAAAGTGATTGAGAAATTCCATTTGATATTTTGGATTTACCTGAATCACTGTACTGTAGTTTCAAACTACAGTCCATCCCATTTTATTGGTTTAAAAGTATTTGTCCTTAACAAATACTAAGTATTATGACATTACCATGCAAACATCAATGCACATGGAGACTACCAGTCAAAGGTGTGAAAGAATTAATATTTTTTGAAGTCTCTTATGCTCACCAAGGCTGCATTTATTGGATCAAAAATACAGTAAAAACAGTAATATTGTGAAATGTTTTCTATTTAAATATATTTTAATGCCGTGGCAAAGGTACATTTTCAGCATCATTAATCCAGTCTTCAGTGTCACATGATCCTTCAGAAATCATTCTTTTGACCGGAAGTGTATATAGTAATTCTTTAGTACAATGGTATACTGTATATCAGCGTAGTATTAACATCTGATACCATCACTGCACACTGGCACTTCATTTGTTTTGTACTGTAGCTTGTGCATGACTTGCTATTCAGTGTAAGTTAATGATTTATGAGATCTGCTGGATAGCTTCCACTGTAAACTAGATCCGTATAAACCGCATCTGCTTGATAAGGGTTGGTATATTACCAATGGGATTGCAAATAATTCTGTTACTAAAGATTTACCATGGCTGTCATAGTAACACACTGAAAAACACTGTATAGAGAATTATATCTGAGAAATATTTTCAAAAAAAATAAATGTATGTGTAAAAAATATTGCATATTATTTCTAGTTTATTTTAAATTCTTATTGAAATAATACAGAACAAAAGAAAAACAAAAAATTATTATTATTATTAATCAGTATTATGTTTGGTTTGTAACTGGTAAGATTATTAAAATGATAATATATTTAAAATATACTATTAAACAAGAACTACTTTATTTTTGCTGCTGTTATCTTTTGCTTTTTTTTTACTTTGTTAGCAGCTGATGCCATTTAAAAAATCAATACAGGAAGCTTGTCATAAACCACAAGTAGTTTCCCTTTAGGTGCAGAGAATTGAGTGTTAAGCTGTTTGTGGCTTTTCAGTGTCTGAGTGACTCTCAAACCTGTAACTTCACTTTACACTGTGAGCGTTTCCAGGATCAGATCAGCCGTCTGAAGGCATGATATGGCGTGGTTGGCCTTCCTTCTTATCTCCTGCCTTCAGACGTTCTACACAACATGTCAGGCGAATGAACAAGGTAGACTATTTCTTTGTATTTTCTTTATGATCTGTATTATTATAATCTTTAAGGAAGTGTAAACATATCTGGCCACATGATTACTAGTGCATGACAAACCGGTTCAGTAAGAATTTTTCATGTGATCAAGTGGGAAATGAGTTCACTTTGAGTCTGTTGAATATGCATTGATATAAACTATATCTATATGTTTTGTTTCTCTTCAGCTTCTCTGAAGTTTGTTGGTATTGGAGACTGGGGTGGACTTCCTATATACCCCTACTACACACCGCATGAGTTCGACATGGCCAATGAACTGGGCAGAATCGCTGAGAGCTCAGGGCTGGACTTTGTCCTCAGTCTTGGAGATAAAAATAAAATTAAATTAAATTAAATTAAATGAAGGACCAGGGTACAATATTTTATTAATTAAGGACCAGGGTACAATATTTTATTTTATGGTATTTCTATATGGTTTACCTGTTGCATTTAGCAAACACAAGTAAAACCAAGGATGGATCCTCATCACCATATTTAGATCAATGTAACTTTGATAATTGTTATTAAAAGCCTAAACACATTTATGCTTTGATATATTTTATACCATGATAATATCTTGTGCATTTACATCCCTTACAAAAAGTACTGTGATGGTATCATTTGGCAATACCATGGTACTTTCATATATATACCATGTTACTCAAATTCAAGTACAATGGTATTTACAATGTATTACATGGTATTTCCAAATTAATGCAAAAAATACCATAGTACATTTCTTTGAATTCTTTTGTATGAATCTGTAACATTTGTGCCACAGTTACCATAGTAAACCATGGCCAGTTTTATGTAAAATAACTTGATTACATAATGGATGCCAATAAAAATATACTTACTTTAAAAAAATAATAATTATTATTTAGAATATATAATATTTTAATGTTGTTTTAAGTTACATAAATTGCATAATTGTGTATTTTTGTATTTTACAAAATTCAAGTTATAATTATATGATGTACTTTTATTCATATTTAATAATATATTTTATTAATACTATAATAGTAATAATATATAATATTTAGTAGTAATAATAATAAATACTAAAAAGATTTTTTTAAAGTTGTAATGCAGCTCTCTTCTTCAGTCTACCTATGAGAGTGTGTTCTCTCACCCCGCGCTGTTGGCCGTGCCGTGGTACCTGGTAGCAGGAAATCACGATCACCGTGGAAACATATCAGCCCAGATCGCCTACTCTAACAGATCTGAAAGATGGTGAGAGGTCAGAGGTCAAGCTCTGTGTGTTAAAGAATGTATTCATTCATGACCACAGTGTGCTGCTGTTAATGTTTGGCAGGATCTACCCCGACCTCTACTACGAGCTGAACTTCAAGATTCCTCACAGCAACACTTCCATCACGGTTCTGATGATTGACACGGTGGTTCTGTGTGGGAACACCTATGACGGGCTTGACCCTGTAGGTCCGGAGAACTACGCTGCTGCTAAACGACATCTGAAATGGATAGAGAAGAAACTTCAAAACACCAAGTGAGTTATTAGTACAACAGTAGCTCCATAAAAGCCAAATGCAAACAGTCTGCCCAAAATCTAATAGAAGAACAAACAACATTGAAATCCAGTGTGGATAATCACAGGATGTGTTTTGCTTTTACTGGGCAAACTTTAGTCCTGTAACAGGAATTTTAGGGCATGTTTTTAAAGGCCCTGACCTGCCACACTGCTTCCACTCCTCCATTGTCACATTCTTTCACTTATTCTCTCTCACTTCTTCGCCGATCCACAATCACATCCTCCTAAATCCCAGATATGAGCTGGAAAACACTCCAGACATTCCATAATAAAAATATGCCCGGCTCTTAAAGAGATAGTTTCACTCAAAAATGAAATCTGTCATTGTTTACTCACCCTTATGTCATTGCAGTTGTGAATGCTGCTTTGTTTTCTGAGCAGCACGAAGAAGAAATGTTTCAAATCTATTGATACATGAATTTCTAAGGCCTAAACACGATCAAAACTTTGCTAAAAAAAAACTTGCCTTATGTCGTCTGATTGATACGTTATGCTTTTTGTAGCAAGTAAAAGGCCTTTTAGAATAACTGTAAAAGTGTCCACTTTCAGGTTTCTTTTTGACGCAAAATCTTAGAAAGTAAATGTAAGAATAACTTATATATTGCTATATATTATATATTTCAATATTAACACATACTAGATTGAAGCAATTTAGGTTTACTTGATTACCCATACATCATTTTTTTTAGAAAAACATGCTAAAATGTGAGTATCAAATATGATACATCAGGCTTTTTATGAATATTTGATCATAAAGGCATTTAAATATCATCTTATTAAGACATTTTATTGAAAGGTATTGTGTGGCAACTGATATTTATGTGTATTTTATGTAAATAGTCTGCTATATTGTTATAAAGATCTCACTGATTTACATTACAAGCTATCAGAATTTCTCTTTCTTCCTACTTTTTGGCCATATCAGCATCTGCTCTAAATTGCATATTTTTGCTCAGTTTGGGCCTCTGAATAAAGTACTATACACCTGGTGTGTCAAATATGATACAAAACAAAAACTGTCAATAAACTATTAATTCATATGCCAGACAGGGTTAAAGAATCTTCATGCAACAATTTAAGTTATAACTTACAAGATAACAGCTTAATTAGCATTTTGAGTGACAATTCTTTTTGCCCAGTTTTATGACTTCAGCATTATGGACACAATACTGATTTTGTAAAAGGACGAAGGTTATGCGCCTGACTGTTTTGTGTTTAATGTACAAACTGTTAACAGGCAGATAAAACTAAGCTCAAACAGCACATGCCCTCACATGTGCAGGGGAAATTACAGTAAAAATACCACTGAGAATAATAGCGGCAAACACTCACAGCTGTTTTCCACAACAGAAGTGAAACAAAGTTTATATTCATCAAATGTGTTTAGAATAAATGCATCTGTTAATCCTCAGGTCAGATTTTGTCATTGTGGCCGGTCATTATCCAGTCTGGTCCATTGGGCATCATGGTCCGACCAAGTGTTTGATATCAGAACTCAGACCTCTTCTGAAGAAGTACAGCGTCTCTTTATATCTGTGTGGTCATGACCACAGTCTACAGGTCGGTATCTTCAACATCACATCATCACGTAATAGAAAATCAAGCAGTACTATACCTTTTCAATAAAACATTCTATTAAAGGATCACCCCAAAAAATGAACATTTTCTGAAAATGTACTCACCCTCAGGACATCCCAGATGTAGATGAGTTTGTTTGTTCATCAGAACAGATTTGGAGAAATTTAGCATTACATCATTTGCTCAGCAATGAATCCTCTGCGGTGAATGGGTGCCGTCAGAATGAGAGTCCAAACAGCTGATAAAAACATCACAATAATCCACAAGCAACCCACATGACTCCAGTACATCAATGTCTTGTGAAGTGAAAAGTTGTGTGTTTTCAACTGAAACTGTTGAAACTGTTGCTTCCTGCTAAAATACAATAATATTGCTTTCTCCAGTGAAAAGTCAACTCATCTGAATCAGGAGAGAAAAATGCACAAATCAGGCACCATTTACAAAAGAAAATAGAACAGTTCTAAACAAATATGTTGGTGGATTTATGTGAGAGGACAACAGAGGATGGACTTTTCACTGGAGGAAGTTTTATTATGGATTATGGAGAGATGATTTGGCCAGAAGCAACGGTTTAAAGTTAAAAAGCCTAAATTATGGATTTGTTTCTTACAAACATGCAGCTTTTCATTTTACAAGACATTAATTGATGTACTGGAGTTGTGTGGATTATTGTGATGTTTTTCTCAGCTGTTTGGACTCTCATTCTGACGGCACCCATTCACAGCAGAGGATCCATTTGTGAGCAAGTGATGTAATGCTAAATTTCTCCAAATCTGTTCTGATGAAAAAAAAATCAAACTCATCTACATATAGGAAGGCTTGAGGGTGCATACATTTTCAGCTATTAATTTTGGGGGGATTATTACTTTTTTTTTTTTTTTACAAATGTATTAAAGCCTTAATAGTGTCTTTAATGGGTACTAAAACATCAGCATCATGCAATTGAACTATAAACTTTAGTTTTTAAAAATGTTTTCTTTTTCATCAGTTTATCAGAGAAGACGATGGAAGTTCATACGTTGTCAGCGGAACTGGAGTTAATGCCGAAATGTACACTGACCACAGAAACAGCTTCCCGTCGTCATGGCAGCTGTTCTCCAACGCAGTCAATCAGACGACAGGAGCGTTTGTGTACTTTGAAGTCAACACAAGTGAGATGTTGATAAATTACACCCAGGAAGACGGGAAGTGTGTGTACCAGACATCCGTCCCAAAACGCAAAGTCCAACTTTTGACGTCATTATAACATTTGCCCCAGTCTGCTCTCAATGAACACAACAGTCACTTTGCAAAAGTTCTTTCTAATTGCACCAACAATTCTTTATTGTATATTTGTATGTACATTTTAATTTCGTTTTACCAGTTTTTTGTTTTTTAGTTTTAAATGTCTGTTTATCTTGCTATGTACAAAATAAAACATTTTTACTGCTGATTATTGGAAAATATAGTGCACTGGTCTTGGAATTTGTATAGACAAAAACTTTTATTTAAGTTGCAAATGTGAGTTTGCAGTCAGATGGGATGTGATTCAAAAGACCAAGGATCTAATATATAAACATTGTATGTATATTTGTTTTTATACAGTTATATATATATATATATATATATATATATATATATTATTCTTTCATGAAATAAGACTTAAAATGAGACTTGCAATTAAAAATATTTGATAGATGAGTCACATTTAATGGAATTCTACTAATTTACATTTGGGGGCGCCATTGAGCCATTTACCTAATTGTTAGATATCTAAATGAGTTTGATTTTAAAGGTGACATATCATGAAAATCTGACTTTTCCAGGTTTTAAGTGCTATAATCAGGTCCCCGGTGCATCTACCAACCAAGGAAACATGAAAAAGATCAACCCAGTAACTTTGTTTTGGGAAGCCTTTTTCTGCAAGCGTCTGAGAAAAAGCGAGCGGGTCTGATTTCGCTCCCCTAGTGACTTGCAAATGGATCTCATTATAATATTACCGCCCCTTAATGTGTGAGTTTCCACCCACAGCGCCTTCATTTTAATTTTGCAAGCGACAACGGTGTACCAGTTCTAATGCCATCGCTACACTATTTAGATCTAAAATAAACATGCGATTTATTTCCCAGCTGTTTACCTTCACAGACATAAACGACTGTTTTTGTAGCTCATGTGTGTTTTTAACGTAAACTAGAGAAAGGCACGAAAAACAGTGTGTTTCTGCTTCCACTCAAAATAGGCATTTTCAAAATGATATAATAAATGATCTGTGGAGTATTTTGAGCTGAAACTTCACAAACATATTCTGGGTGTACACCATGACTTATATTACATATTGTAAAAAGGGGCATAATATGTCTCCTTTAAATTAGTTTGATGAATCAATATGAAACATAATATGAAATATAATGACACATGTGCAGTTTTGTATATATAGCAGTTTTATTTAAAAAAAAAAAAATCCACATCAGTACCATTCCTACTGGATTCACAGGTTTGTAGTACAATGATAAAGTTGATCAAAATGACAACAATAAACCAGATTTAACATTATTTTATGATTGCTGGTTAGCCATGTACAGTTGCAATGTGCTAAAACTTAAAACGTTTTGCTGTCACAAAAATACTTTAAAAACAAATACAGTTTACCACATTAATAGCTAAAAAAATAAATTAGTGTTCTTTCATTTCATAAAATGTGCTCCGATTTTGATTCTCCCAAGTGCATACAATAAAAAACCCATCATAAACCATACAGTATTTCCATTTGTTAGAAAGTAGATGAAATTAGGCAGTGCTTCTAAAAATGTTTATACAGTACACTTCAGTGCCAGACTAAAGAACCCACCACCTGACAGTATAAAGATCTTGTCTTGCTAAATAACATGTCTAACATATCTACAGTTTGAGGTTTCACAGAAACACAATTTTCCCACTGTTTTCTAGTAGAATGGGACGCCATCTTCCCTAAGGGAGAGTCCAATTTAGATCTACCAAATAGAGCATCCACACTCCTCACACACCGTTCAGTGCTAATCCCTCTTTTCCTGTGTTTTTTGCTCTCTTTCTTCGTCTGCAGCACATCACGATGACAATAATGATTGTTGTTATTGCCAAAATTATAATAAGAATGGCTCCGGCGATGACACCCACGCCGTACTCTGCAAAAACATTACATCATCGTCATTAAGGTCACAACACTTGATTTAATGAGTTTGATGGACACCGCAGGAATTTTGCAGCTCTACTGGTCCCTAGACGCTGTGATGATTCATTTACAATCCACCCGATGGACACATTTCTTATCAATTATGAGTGCTATCGGTTGCATTAAATGTCTCTGTGAATCACACATTCATAGAGTCCATATAAATCTCTGATATGATACTATATCAGCTCTCCGACACTTCATGTGTTACAGCGAGAGTCCAGATCAGGGGAGAGTGTCTATTTTGGGAAAATGATTCACACTCTATCAGACAAAAGTCCCAACGTTTGCATTTCCTGGGATTGTTGTGCTGAAAATCCTTGACAGACCATGTTTTAGTGTAAAAAGTGAAAGCATTACCTTCAAAGATAGATGTGTTGTCTTCTGGTGAGCACTGGTAGCTGCTGATCTCCCCGTGTTGTTTGTCTAGAACGCGAAAGTGTAGGAAACCCTGAACGTAAAAACAGTAACTCACTCCTTGGTCCAAATCCGTCAGCTCAATGATGCTGCTTTTACTGATCTTCTCTTTCTGAAGAGGCAAACACATAAAATATGTTTAACATATAAAGTTTGCAATAATTAAGATTTTTTAAAAATGTTTTAATGTCGCTTATTCTCACCACGGTTGCATTTATTTACGCATTTATTAACAGTAATATTGTGAAACAGTATGACAATTTAAAATAAATGTTTTCTATTTTAATATATTCTAAAATGTAATTTATTCCTGTGATGCAAAGCTGAATTTTCAGCATCATTACTGCAGTCTTCAGTGTCACCTGATCATTCAGAAATCATTCTAATATGCTGATTTGCTTCTCAAGAAACATTTATTATGATTATGAATGATGAAAGTTGTGCTGCTTTTTTTTCTAGAATTCTTTGATGAATAGAAATTCAAAATAGCAGCATTTAAATCAGCATGTTAATAATGTAAATATAAATATTTTGTAACATTATAACTGTCTTTACAGTCAGTTTTGATCAATTTATTGCATCTTTGCTGAATAAAGGTATCAATTTATTTTAAAAATCTTTCTGAAATCTTCTGAATGGTACTTTTTGGCATATTTTTGTATTGTGCCCTACATAATATCTCATGGTGAATAAAATAAATATTTTTAAATTGTCAAATTTTTAATTAGAACTATAATTACCCTAAAAGTTAAAAACAAATGTTATTTGTGAAAGAAAAAACTTTGAGTCTCTACCTGCAAAAAATGACAACAATTGACTATATGTTTATTATTTAGTTGGAAAAAAAAAAGGTGAGGGAATTACTTGGAACAATTTTCACTCAGAAATTGCTAGTAAATTTTACAAACAAACAGTAACACATTGAATTAAACATGTACATTTGAAGAAGAAAGACTGAAATAGCATTTTCTTGTGAAACATACCTCAGTAATCTTTGTTTTATTTACAACTTTGAAGTTGTTTCATACTATAAGTCAGGATAGTACTTTAGACTTTAAAAAGTGGTGAAAGAGCTCAGAAAAGTCTGTTTACTGCTTATTAAATAAGATAAGACAAAAGTAAGATTACAGACAACACTAACCTTTCCTGTGCTCTTGGCTTTCCTGTAGGTAACCTTATACTGCAGGTTGTCTCCGAAAACATCCCGAATATTCAGTCTCTTGTTATCCTCATTAAAGAGAGCTGTGGGGACGTCCGTTACGTGCAGCGTCATCTTCCTTTTGTCGCTGCTTACTTCTATTTTAAACTCTGGCCTGCCAATGGCAGCTGAAAGAGAATCAAAGCAGAAGATCTTTATAATGGTTCAATATCTTTTTGTCATTAAATAAAGGTGGTTGTGAAAGATACTGACTGTCATAGTAAGGGGAGAATTTCTCCGATCTGACATGAGGGAACTCAATCAAATCGGAGGAGACGCCCCGCATGGGTTCAGACAGGATGTCAGCGCTGTAATAGGCCTTCAGGTTTTTTAACTCTGCAGTCAGGTCGCATTCAGGTTCCATCGTCCTGATACAGTGCGGCATCCGTTCTCTGTCCTGGCCGAGTCTACAGTCATTTACACAGACATTTAGATTGTAAAGAAATAATTAAGAAATTACCAATTATATTACATGAGAAAAAAGTGACAGGTTGGTGCCTGCTGTAACAAGTCCTGGGTGTGGAACTATGCAAGAGTTGCCAAATCTGCCTCATGTGAGAGATTAATACAGAGCTTTTTGTTCATAAAGGTTTTAATGCTTTAAATATTAATAAAAGCGTATCTAAACCCACTAACATTTAAATCAAATCAAGTTAAATTGACTGTTACAACCTGCAGAGACAAATGCAATGCACTTTTAATTAAATGACTGTTGGAAATTGTTAGAAGACTGAGTAGAAATTAAGTTAAAAACAATAGAAACAAAATACATAATACACTTTTATTGCCCATACACTATGCACCTTTATCAGTTTATGGCCCTTTTCAGATTATACAGTGAGAAACCTTTTGATATAATCAATGAATTATGACTTGATTGGTCAGAATCAATATGATCTAAGTAATATTAGATACCAGCCAAGGCAAACTGAGTCTTTTCACTATTGTATTTCAATAAAACATATCCTATGCAACATATGAAGCTCATGTGTACATACTGTACATTTTACTTTATATAAGCCTGCAATAACAAACTGTAACAGATTTAGACCCTTTTCATTACTATTGAAACAATATCTTTTAAAGCGTTGTAATAAATTAGATTTTTGAATTGAACCTGAATGGGTTAGAATTAACTAATTCTAGCACATTTTTCACAACTCTGATACTGCATTCAAGACAATAAAGGTAATAATATACAACCTGACTACTAAGTGTATTATAATAACAAAAAAATGTCGACTTACTCTGAAAATTCAACAGTGTAGGAATAATTCGTTGGTTTTGGGCTCCATGTTAACATGGATTTAAAATTGACAGAGGACCAGGCTACGTTCTGTGCTTTTGGAAAGATTTCTATGAAACAGAAAAGCAAATGAAACAATACATTATTAGAACGATAGAAATGCTTTCAAATAACTGGTTAACAAACTGATTAACACATTCAATCATTACGGCACAGGTACGTGACTTACCTGAGGCGCAAGAGCTCATGAAAAATAAAACCAGCGCCAATTCAAGCATGCCAAATTTCGTTTGCCTGTTACTTTCCATATTGTCCCCAGGCGAAAATACTAACCCAATTTTAGTACGAAGACCAAGTAAAACTCTTTTTACCAGGTAGGATAAAAATGAAGGTGAAACCTCGTCCCAAGTGGCTTATGAAGTCCTCCTTGTTGTGTGTGTGAGCGCAGAAAAACCAGCCAGATTCCAGTCGTGATTGCAGTGACACTCATGAAGCCCCGCCCTCTAGGACAAGTGGGTCTGTCTACTTACTTACACACACACACACACACACACACACACACACACATACACATATACTCATTCAGTTGATTACGACTAAAGAGCTTTAGCATTTAAAGAATGCAAGTTTAAAAGGTAAGGAATATTTTAGTATATAATTATTAAATAATATGTCATTATTTATTTTAATTATTTATATATGTATATATATCTCTACCTAACTGACCTAATATATATATATGTTTTATTTAATTTGAGTTATTTTAATACTTCAACAAACTAAATGGAAATGAAATAATATATATATATTGAATTTATAATTGTGTATGTATATATATATATATATATACATGTGTTTGTGTGTGTGTGTGTGTGTGTGTGTGTGTGGTTATACATACACATATATGTAGTTGTTTGTTTGGCTTAGTGTTATGTTAGAATCATTATTATACTCATATACCTCTTGTTCTTTAATATTTTTAATTGTTTTTTGCTTTATCTTTTTTTTTTTCATTTAAATGTTAAGTTTTGAAATTTTGTTGTATGCATTTGTCATTTTTATTGAATTTCTTTATTTTTAAAATGTGTATAAGTCGTATTTATAAAGTTTTAGCTTTTAGTTCTGGATCTGTTTTTAGTTGTTTTAATACTACAATTGATTGCTTCTGTTGTCCTCATTTGTAAGTCGCTTTGGATAAAAGTGTCTGCTAAATGACAAAAAAAACAAAAAAAAAACATAATTTAATAATTATTCTCTGATACTGCTGATATTTAAAATGCTAATTAAAATAATTAATAAAAAAATAATAAATAATAAAAAATGTTCCTGATTTAAAGTATACATAAGTAATATTTATAATGACCAGAAAGCTGTTTTTATTTTATTTTATTTTATTTTTCAGGATTGGAAAATGTCCATTTCTATATAAACACATATTTCAAATTCTTGTGTAACAGTAAACAAAGTAAAATAAAATAAAAAGCTATTGAGTTATTCCACCGTGTTTCATTAAACCTTCACCTTTTGCCTTGACCTGGACACTCTTTACACCGACACTTGCACATTTATTATGTTAATATAATAAAAAAATAGATGTCTCAAAGATCCAAAATGTGCAAAAAGTCAACTTATGTAACTTCCTTATATCTCCCTAGCAGATAAAAGCAGCCTTTCGACTGCAGCATCAGCTTTTGATTATGTCCAGGTTACGAAAGACAACAATCATTTAGGTCAGATTCAGAAAGCTTCAACCTCATGCCTCATTAAAAAGAACTCTGAAATCAGGAATAAATTAGTTCAGCAAATAAACAGTTTTGAGATTGTTGCTTTTGAATTAAAAATGTGAAGCATTGAAGCATTGTTCGAAGGGATGAGATGCAAACTAAACGCCGGTGTATGATCTAATCATGCATTATGTCACATACAAAGGCTTTCAACTGCTTATGGGCATAAACTCCTCTGATGATGACCATGATAACAAATTACTCATCATGACATGCTCACGATTTGTATTTCGGGAAGTATGACTCCAGTTCTGTCCCAGTTTCAGGCGGTATGTGATGCTGGCACCTCTAGAGCGCTGAATGCCAGCAGGGGTCTTTTGCCCATTCAGATCCTTATGCAAATGAGCAGCTGGTACCTCACTCCCTCCTAAGGCTTTGCATGTTAAAACACTTACAGGACTCAGAGCTTCCAGTGAAACTCACCCAAAACCACTAAGAGATAAGATCAGACTGGAAAAGGCCGGTTTTCCTATAAGTCTCATCATTGCCATTTGAGAATCTCTTTACACAATTGGCTGTGCCAAATGTGGATATTTAATGCCTAAACTATAGGCTTTGTCATAAATGAACAACTTTGAGCTGTTTGAAAGATGTTTTATGAAAGATGTTTTTGTTAGGGGTTTCTTACAGGCGCAAGTAAAAAAAAAGAGCCCCCAGTCTCAAACCTCTCCTTCAGTATAAGCCCAGCAAACAGGAAACATTTTCTGAACTTCAGCTAACGTTCTGGGAAGGTTAAGTTTCTGTATAACGTTCTTCAGGTTAACGTTAATAGAATGTTCATTCAATGTTATCTGGTCTTTAAACGAATAGTTTACCCAAAAATTTAAATGTACTCAGAATGTACTCAATCTCAGGCCATCCAACATGTAGATGAGTTCTTCGGAACAGATTTAGAGAAATGTAGCATTACATTACTTGCTCACCAGTGGTCCTCTGTAGAGTGAATGGGTGCCGTCAGAATGAGAGTCCAAACAGCTGATAAAAAAATCATATGATCACATCAAGCATCTTCATTTTTGGTTGAACTATAATGTTCTCAAATGTTAACATAAAACATTCATGGGACATTTTAGAGAACATTCAAAAGTAATGTTCCCATAATGTTTGCAAAAAGCTCAAATGGAATGTTCATATAGCCAAGATTTTTTTTTTTAACCCAATTTTAAAACTTGACATTTGGAACAGTTGGAAATAACATTTTCATGGGAATGTTACCTAAATGTTCTTAGAACATACTTTTGTTAGCTATGATTATGTGAGATTTTTTTCAACCATTTTTATTGACTGCAAGATTAAAATTATATATCTGACGGGTTAGAAAAATTACACTCTGCACAGTTTGAAATACCATTCATGCTGAGAGCACAAACAGTGCTGATATGTTTATTCAAAGCATAATAATACATTTTTATAGTCATTAGATTATTTATTTAAAGGAAAATGGGACTATACACTCTTAAAAATAAAGGTGCTTCAAAAGGTTCTTCACAGCGATGCCATAGAAGAACCATATTGGGTTCCACAACGAACCATTCAGTCAAAGGTTCTTTAAAGAACCATCTCTTTCTTACCATTTTATAATATGAAGAACATTCTTTCGCCAAAAATAAGCTTTTGTGAAACAGAAAGGTTCTGCAGATGTTAAAGGTTCTTTATGGAACCATTTAGACAAAACTCTAAAGAAACTCATTTAGACTCTGTAGAGGACATCGGGACTTTAAAAAGTCCTGTTTTTAAAAAAAATAAAAAGACATGAATACACATGAAAAGGCAAAAAGAGTGGGATTTTTGTTTTAACCAGAAATCAATTTTCATTTTTTTTATACCAAACTTTATATAAAGATGATTCTCAACTATGTTATGAAAGATATTTTTAAAAACCTTTTTTCTTTATGCAAAATGTGTGTAAAATGGCTATAAATGAGTTTTTCCATTATATACAATGTATCTATAAACAGTATCTAATTTGCATATTAATGTGTTTTTTTGGGGCAACATAGAATGAACAAATAAGTGCAATAATGGGAGTAATAATTAGCGAGATTTTCATAATAATATCTAATATTTAATAGGAATATTGATATATAATTTTTTCTCTATTCATTTGTTGTGTCTCCCAAAAAAAGTCCTGGTGTCCTCTACAGTGGACATGTATGAAACTGATGTCCTGTTTCATAACAGAAGCTCATATTTTGATCTGAAACCCCATAACATTTTCCTGAGATGTTGATTTATGACAAACAATTAGTCAATTAGTCAGATTTAAATGATAATTACAAAATATTATCATATTTCCATTAGGGTGTTACATTTGATCACTAAATGAATGTCAGCCATTTTTAAAGACCAAAGAGATGGAGTGGTCATGGTGAAACATCCAATCATTTGGTATCTCTGGAAAGCCCTCAATGTGCTCTGTACAGGACATCCAGACTTAAAACTGTGACATGGAACGTCACAGAGAAATCGCTAAAACATAATGTCCTCTACAGAGGACAAAACTCCATTGCTGGTAGTCAGGAGGTTAAGAGTGTAGTTGACCACTCCAAATATCCAGAGATAAAACAAACGAGTCATGATGCTCTCGTGGCCCAGTGGCTCTAATTGAACAGAAGTTCATGGATAGTTGAAATGTTCTTGAATATGTATACTATATGAGTATACTGTATGTGTATTGCATTCCTCATATGTGAATGAAGTCATAATCCATTTTTCTACAATAGAACTGATCCACTGCGGTGTCTCCTCCCCATCATTATACCTCTGGGGTTTTTCTGACCTCTCTGATTACCCAGATCATCTCATGTGCTTCTGCAGAAACCTGTGAGAGGATGTGAGGTCAGAAACAATGGTCAGAGTCTGAGGTTTGGCTGAACTCACTTGCACTCTGTGAAACCCCACACGCTGCTTAAAAAAAACAACCGCACTGTATGCACTGTAATAAAAATGATAGGTTTAGGAAAACATTCATAAAGATTAATACACAAAATAATTGCTTTTGTTTGACCTTTCTGGAGATTACATGAAAGTGACATTCTAACCTCTGTGCAAGTGTTTCCTTTTGTATTTTGCTACATAAAACAGAGCAATTATTTTTTTATTTTATATTTTGAATTTAAACTATTAATAACCTTATTAATAAAATAAAAAAATAAAATAATATATAATATAAATATACTATGACTTTTATTCAAAAACCTAACCTTTCATTGAAATAAAACAATTGAAAATAGGGGGAAAATCTCATGAAATATTCCTCACATTAATATTCCTGTGGAACAGGAAGCCATTTTACTCATAATAATTTCTAGGAGTGTCAATAATCGTGGACAACATGTATTTGAGAAAAACATTTATTTCATCATGAGACTTTCCACCCATTTTCAATTGTTTTACTTTAATGAAAGATTAGGCTTTTGTGAAAGATCAAAAGGATTAACAATGCTGATTTTCTTTGTTCATATTTACCAAGGGTGACAATAATTCTGGCCACGACTGTAATTGAATATTCAATATCGATTGATATCAATAAATTAAAATGTTTTTAATATTGGTTGATAGTTATGATACCAATATATCATACATTTATGATGTTTTTGTGTGAAAGGATTTGGTCACAATGTACCGTCATCATAGTATGAAAGAACAGTGTAAACAATCTTTTAAAAAATCTCCATGGAAAAATAACAGCATACAGGTTTGTAACAACGT